CTAATATTTCGTTTTTTTTGCATTTTTCGATTTCAGTATAAATCTCATATCGTTGAGAGAAAGTTAATGGATCATATAGCAGCATATTAACTCTTCGTGTAATGATTCGTAATATTAAAAAAAAATGAAGTCAACAAATCCAGTCTTGGAAATAAACTCTGAAAATTCATTTTCGAAAGTGAATTTGTTTTTTTTTTTGTTTGAAACACGATTACAAGATTTATTGAAAGAAATTGTGATTAAGAACATTGTTTTTTGATCCTACAAATTAAGTTTTTTTATCACTTTTTTCTGTCCCATTTACTTGCGATATTTCAAATTTAGCAATCAAAATATATCCTAGTGGCTGAATTTAAATTTTTCTCAAAAGTGATACTGATAAATAATTCAGTGTGAAAAATTTTTTAACCAAACAAGTATTGTTTATTGGAAAACAAAGAATATCAAAATAGTTTCAATCCTTTTGTTTTATTCAGAAGCAAAATATTAATTGTGTCTGAATTGGAAAATGCATTTACTTCATTTTACACAATGATAATTTTATACAATGCTATAATAGTAAATAATAAAAATTAATATATGTATGGCTGAAGTTCTTTGCTTCTTGCATATGCTTCCAACTACGAAATTCATTATGACATTCCTTTTTAAGGAGTAATTCATTGTTATAGCATCATTAGGCGCAATTATCTTCCATTAAATTCATTTAAACAAAAATTACGCTAACATTTTTTTATCATTTTATGCAAATCGTTTTTGACAATAATTATTGTTTTGCAAGTTAAATTTTGTATCAGTATAAATAATGCTATAATTTTTTAAAAGTGTTAACAAGAAAGAATGTAGGAGGAGATGTTGATGACAACGAATGCGACATATCGCAAAAATAAACATGTTATTTTCAAATAAAATTCCATAAATCTACAAGATAGAAGACGAAAATTATTTTTACTATTTTTAAAAAGGAAATCACAATTCCATGAGACTAAAAAGCCCAATAGATCAAAATCGGATAATAGCAAATATGGCATTGCTAATTGTCATGAATAAACAAATCACCTGACGAGCCATACATGCTATTAGCCATTGAAATGTGAATTATTCCTATAGCTTTCAACGCTAATTTCTACAAATTCAAATGTTTATATAAAATGATAGCATGCATCATTTTATCTTTTCTCTTAAAATGCAATATCCCTTTCTTTTCCTTTTTTTTTGCCTTTTAAATTGATTTCCTGCGATATTATTCGAAGAAATCATCGACAAATTTGAATAATTGCACAATAAATCACTCCTTCTATTATTTTTTCCTCCAAATTTTATCATTAAAAGGGAATTAGCTCCATTTCAATTCTCCCCATTTTTTATTTTCCTCTCTTAGTTTTAAATTAATTTAAGTAAAAAAAAAAAACAAAAATCAATCATTTAATATTTTCATATTTTAGCATTCCCGATTATTGATTATATTATTTTATTAAATTAAAAAAATACTTTTTTAAAACCAATTACCCATTTATTGTTATGATGAATGACTGGAAAATGAACTATAACGCTAGGTATTAGCATAGTAGTAGTAGGTGCAGTAAATGTAAGTTCATGTTTAGTTTGAATAAAAGTTAAGGCTTGCTCGCATATTTGTCTCACTCAATCAATCCTATCCTTCTTTCATCATCACACGATAATAATGCTCGTTAATTTTCATATTGAGAGTTTGTAGTAAGCTGGAAATAATTTAACTAGTACCAAATTTTACTTATTATGATTTTTCAACATTTCATACATTTTCAATGACATTTTTTTTACTGATCATTTTTCAACTTTTTCCTCACTTATATATAATTTCAAATTTTTCATTTAATTTAGAAAAGAGATAATTGGCTTATTTTTCTTTATTATTGCACTTTAAATAATCCTTACTCCAATCATATTCTATTCATTCATTGAAGGCAGTAAATTAAAAACTTATTCGAAATGAATTGATAATAATGAATGGTTTGGAACAATGTCAAACAGTTCTTATCGAATTACCAGAAAGTAGCATTGTATATGATTGGCTCTATGCTATCTATACATTTTACAATCCAATTCATACCTATTTATCCATTGTAATATGTATTTTGGGTGCTATGTGCAATTTTTGCAATATTCTCGTCCTTACAAGGCAAGTAAATTTTATTAATTTATTAGATAAAGAAACAAAATTGTTTAAAATTTTTAAAAATATAAGTTTTAATTTTTAACGTAAAAATATAAATAATTTTGTCTCCCTTGTTTAAAAAAAAGTAGTATAGATAGGTAACAAAATAAATGAAACACCTTCCAAAAAAGATATCCTATGAAGATATTTTTAATTATTACGCAACGCTAATGTAACAGAAAAGCAAAAAAAAAAAATTTAATCCCTTCAGAGTTTCTCAATACATTCGAACTTTATTCAATAAGTTTTATTGTTCAATCAGTTGTGAAATTTGACTTTTGCACTAAAGAAATGAAATGGAGAAATTCATTTCAAAAAAAGAATTGAAATAATATATTAATACGTAGAAATTTTTCCCATTTCAATATATGAAGCGAAAATAAAATCATTTTTCCTTCTCTTTCCTTAATTCAAATAACTGACAATCGCTCACAAAGAAGCATTTCATCATGTTTGCTTCATTCTTTCAATTATAAAATGTGACAAACAGAAAAAAAGTCGCTTTAATATTTCTTAATATACATACATATGAAAAGTTCACCTGAATAGTGGAATATAAATTAAGAAGGTAAATTTTATTTTGTTAACTCATATCGTGATAGCGATGCTTAAGGGAGGTGAAATACATATCATTGATCAATTTTATTATTTTAATAAGCTTTCAAGAATTTAAATCTCTTTTCTAAGACTCTCCAAATATCTTATTTTCAAACATCATATCGTTTAATTTTTAATCAGTTTACCATTTTATTATTTACTATTTGCTATTTAAGATTTCTAAATATGTATATATAAGTAATCATTGATTGAAGTCATTTCTATTCTTTTATTTGTTGAAAACATGAAAAAAATGCAAATTGAAATTTCAAAAATTTGATAAAATATAGTAACAGCAGAAATGGAAAGAAAAAAGAATAAAAATTTGGCTTATTTCAAAAAAAAAAGAGGAAGAAGATTGATTTAATAGTATTATTTTCACAGAATGATTCAAACAAATCATTTCATCAATTTAATCGGCAAATGATTATTTATTATCATATCATACCTGCGAGATTAATTTTAGGAAACGAATGTGTACACCGGTAAATATGATTTTAACAGCAATGGCATGTTGTGATACGGTAGTACTATTTTCAAATTTGGTATACACAACACATTATACATTCACAGCATTTGCTAACTGTCATCCGGAACAGTGGAGCTATGGTTGGGCTATATTTCTTGTATGCCATGCACATTTATCACTTATTGGCCATTCGAGTAGCATTTGGTTATCAGGTTAGTTACGGTAGTATACGATAGTTGATTACGGTAGTTGATAATACTGTTTAATTTTATCTGTTAAAGTTGAAATCCATATTAATAATATTCAACATGTATTCATTATTTTAGTGTATGAAATTATCACTGAATTGATATGTTGATATCACTGAACCTTTTTAAGAATGTTGATGAAATATTATCATCTTTTAGAATTTGATGATCCGAAGCAATTGACGGCCGGATCACGGGGAATGGATAGAATATATTATGTAAGAAGACATGGTTTCATGAAATTAGTTGCCTAATTAGGAGGCATGGACTTTCAATACACTATTATATGCTTACATCCGAACATTTCCAATTACTCCGATTTCACTAAAACTAGCTAAGCATATTTTTCATATTTTAAATATTAATATAAATTTTAAATTTTCAGTTATGTTAGCATTAATACGATATATGACATTACGAAGCAGAAGGAAGATCAACGTTTTACAGGTATATTATAATAATTTTGAACTCAAATTTTTTCAATATATTAACAATAATCTATTGTAGATTTAAGTAAAGTTTTAAAGAAAATTCAAACCAAGCTCTACTCAAATCTATAAGTTTCATTGATTCTTTTTTCCAAAATCCATGAATAGAAAATTTAACGATCTCTTTGTTCGGTACATTCAGCTATACAGCAAACAATGATTAGCTACTATTCATTAATTAATTCTAATCATTTTAAAAGTCTTTTGATTGGTCTTTCCGTGTTCATGTGCATAAAATTGCATCACTACAATTTAATAAATTTTAATGGGCATAGAGGTTTCATTATTTTGCGAGACCCAATTTCCAAAAATAAGAAGAATGTCCTGAAATAGCAATAATTCATCTCTATTATTTAACCGAGAAAATAAAAAGGCAACAAAATTATGGAAATATGAATAATATTTCTACTGCTAAATTCATCGAAGAAATTTTGCACATTTATACTTAATTACTGAGCTATTCAGATACTTCTCAGCAAAAAAAAAAAAAACTATTTTGTTGAATTATTTCTAAAATCTAAAATGCATACTAGCTTGAACTTATTTTCGATAAGTTATCGGTAAAGTGAAGCGATAATATTTCAGTATTTGGATGAAATATATCTGCGAAGAAAGCGAAATTATTTAATTATACCTTAACCGTAAATGCTAACAAAACAACGAAATTCAATATTTTTTTTTCAAATTGCGGTTAAACTTTCAGAATATTAGCAAACAATTTGAAATTAAACTTATTTTCTCACTTTACAGGTTGAAACTCATTTCAGATTAATTTACGACATTCATATATGGCTATAACATTTGTTATATTATTTGTAATATTAATGAATACGCCAAATTTTCTTGCTTATAAAATTATTAAAATGAAACTTAGCGAAATGTGTAACATCACGGATATTGGCGATCGTGATACACTTGTTTACATACCTGGCGTTTCTGATTTAGCACTTGAAGCGCACTGCTTGGTATTTATTTAGAATTTTTTTTTGAATTATTTCATTGCCACTTTTAGATTGAATGAAAGTTTAATTTTGATTTGAACATTTTATTAACATGATGCATTTTCTGGCAAATTTGTATATCTTAAAATTCTGCAAACTTCACTTCCGGTTCAAAATTTTATGATATTTTTAAACCTAAAAAAGGTAAGAAAATTGATAGTATGAAAGGAAGAGAAATAAATAAATCGATACGTCTGTTTTTTTTTGAGTCTTATTGAGGAAATTATTGCTTATGGCAATTAAACTCAGCTCTAAACTAAGGCTGAATTTAAAAGTTAAATTTACAATCTAGGCTGTAAAAGTTAAATTTGAGAGTAAAAAAAAATCATTTTGAAAAGTTTGTGATCAAAATTTCACCTTTCTTGAATTTTTATTATTATTTTTGCCATTATCATTATTATTATTACTACTTACCCTGCCCATTTATTTTATCTACCAAAATAATTTTGAATTAGACTTTAACTTCATGATATTATGATGGTTTAGATATTTCGAATGGCATTTTGGATATCAGGTACAATATTCAAAATGATCCCATGTTTACTGCTATCATCATTTGTTTGGCTATTAATGAAAATTTTAACAAAAGTACAACAAAATCGACTCAAACTTTTAAATCATTCAACACCATTCTGCAACGAAAGATTTGTTAATAATAGGAAGGAATATCGCAGGAAAAACAAAAATGCCGCAAAAACTCCATCAAATTTTTCAACAACAACTGGTTTCTACGATAGGTAATGACAATTTTTAATCATAACAATTTTACATATAATTTCTTAATTAATTTATTCTGCAAAAAAACAATCCGGC